TTCTTCTTGAGTGTAGTAAATATATTTGACTGAAAATATGGGGTATCGATATCTACTTCTTCTATAACTTGTTTCTCTAACAATTTTTGAATTTCGTTAAGTAGTTCCGGTATGGTGGGGTTGTTTGCTTTTATAAGAATAATGTTGAGAGAAGAAGGTGAAAACCATTCTGATTGATATCTCTCTTTGATTATATGTGTGTACCAAGATAGACCTGTCAAACTGATCCAATCTGATAATCATAAAGCTAACCTTTTTCTAACAGGTAAGAGTTTCTCTATTAATTGGTCATAAAGTTTTGGTTGTTGTAAAATTTTGGGTGATCCCCATAATTGTGGCCGCCTCTGAACCTGTTTCCCTGATTTTGTATTCAATTATAAGGCCAGTAATTGCCCCTTCGCACTCAGCCAGAAAAGAGATTACCTTTAACATGAGTGGATCTGAAACTATTTCTTTTATAATTATGTTGCTTCTTACAACTGTCTGCTATTTTGTCAAAGAGCTTATTGGTAGAGTTTTTTTTGTTAATAATTGATTCAAGTATACTTCTTTTTTTTCAATTGGTGGAGTATAGTTTGGGGAAATAACTTTGAGTGATTGCTCTCTTCTAAGTTCATTTGTATAAAATAGAGTGTCCAAAAAGAGAGGCCTAAAGTCTTTAAAAGCCGTTTCAATATATTTCTACGCTTGAAAGGTATCAGATTTACTGTCTGGTTTGGCATTATAAATTGCTCTGAGTAAGTTATCAAGAATTGTAGATAATCAGTATGTGACTTTAGAGAGAAACTTGTCTATTTCTTTGGCTTGTAGGGATATGAGCTTCCAGAGATGTTTGTCCATTGCAGGAGCATCATAGATAATATCTGCGTTATGTGGTTGGTTCTTAAGTATTTGGGTTTTTGTGTACTTAGATAACAAATTGTCTTTATATATTCTGGTGGGAAAGTTGCATATTTCTTCTAATAGTATCTAGGTGGTATTGTCACAGGATCCTGATCAGAGGTGTCTGAGAGGTCATCTTCCACGTAAGGTTCATTGATTTTTGTATTTTTATCATGAGGTTGAAGCATATTGAAGAAGAAAACATCATTAAATGATTGTAACTGTTCAAGATAAAATATCTATATTTTAGCACGAACTGCTGCCAAAATAAAATGGCCTAAAGAAGACATTCCAAGAAGGTTATCAACATATATATATGAAAAAAAAAAAATCGAATCATCATATAATGTTTTCTTATACTATATAATCTCTAAAAATTGGTTATTGCTACTAATAAAATGGCCAAACTATATGTAATATTATATATCAGAGCGAGTGAAATATATTTCTCAAGAAACCACCTTCCGTGCTTTAATTAAAAGTTTTCCTTGAATGATTTTACTATATTTTCTGTTAATTTTTAACTTTAATACAAATTCTAATCTTAATATCAATGAATTTTAAAGAATTTT